GGCTGGATGTTCAAACGTGGCATGAGCTAAGCAGGGACCCCACYCCTGAAAGCTCAGCGTGCAGCCACGGGTAAGAGTCACCGAGAGTCTCCTTCAGTGGTGACAGGATCCTGTGATCCAGCCACTGCCAGGACACAGCTCCAACAGGTGCCAGCCCTGCCATGGGTTTGCAGAGCTGTGAGGGCTGTGCCAGGCAGGGGCTGAGGCTCCTTTTCCTTCACAGCACGGTGGAGGGGATCTTGGGCTCTCCAGATGGCACAGGATGGGCTACGGGAGAGTGCAGGGCATGGCTGGGCTCCTGTGCCCACAGAGAGCAGATGAGCCTCAGGCTTCTCAGGACACCCCAGCAGCTCCCTGGGCACCTCCTTAGGACCCTGCAAGGCCATTTTTGGGGTGGCTGCAGAGTGGCAAACCCAAACCAAAGGCCAGTGCCTGCACTGACCTGTCCGTGTGTTTTGTTTCTCCTCTCAGCACACAGACAGCTCATCACAGARCTGTGGCAGCTGGTGAGGACCGAGTCACCCCTGCGTCACCCTCCGAGGCATTTCGGAGCCCAGAGCCGGCTRTCCTGGCCCTCAGCCCAAAATTACTCATTCCTGATGCCAGTGTCAGGAGCTGGGCTTCCTACCGGGGCAGGAGCACAGCTTTGGTGCAGAACAGCCCATGRCCACAACAATGGCTTATGATTCAGCGAAAAACAAAATGTCTCTCTAAATCAGAGCAACCACATGATAAAAAASCATTTAAAAGAATCAGAATTAGCTGCCCCATGGCCTCAGAAACCAGGCAACGAGACTTTTATGTAAACAGTCTTGTTTTCCATAGGAAGGTGGAAGCCCTGGCTGGATTCAGTCCAGGATGGCTGTGAAGAACTCCAGCTTCTGCCTCACCAAGCACTAGGTGAAAGGTTTCCATGTTATTTTCCACTGCTGGGTGATGGATCCCCAGGGCACATGGCGAGGCTGTTTGCAATCGTAACAAGTGACAGCACGCTGCTTTGGCAGCGTGAATCATCATCCCAGCGTGGCTCGTCCCGTCTGTTCCCACTGGCGCCGTGGTGGCCCTGTGGCACCATCGTGAGCAGTGCCCAGGGGACCGTGGGCACGGGAGAGCCCAGGGCAGGGGGTGCACCAGAGCCCACCGTGGAGCTGCTGAGGAAAGCCTTGCCATGCCCTGAGCAGTGCCACTTCAATAACACAGCTACCAAAATCCACCCCCAGGACAGGGATAGGATCTCAGTGTGCAAACAGCAGCTCTGGGGGAGCACAYGGGTCTGTAACTCCTCTGGGCACCACCTTGAGCAGCTTCCCTTCAGGGGCTCCATTGCACAACCTGGGACAAGCACAGCAACAATGCTCCTGCCTTTTGAAACATCATAAAGCAACACCTACTTGCCTAACAACAAGTTTTGAATAGTACTTTATTAACTCTGCTCAAAGTTAATGCATGTATTATGCACATTTTAATTACATCTTTAACTGCTGACAATATGGGTGTACTTATTGGCACAAAACCTTATTTGGCGGGTGCAATATCTTTATGGAGGATTAACTTCAAAGCCTCATCTTGTCGTCATGCATCAAAGCCTGTATTTCAGATTAACTCCCGCTCCCCTACAGCTCAGCTAAGCAGCCTTCTTCAAGAAACTGAAAACATGATCTGGCATTTTTCCTTGGACTGCCTTGTAGTGGGAATTCTGTCATGCTTCAAACCACTAGTTGAACAACACTGACATTTCAAGTTGAAAAAGAAAACCCTATCMGAGTCCTGGACCAGCAAAGGAATTGTGCCTTGATGTTAATTAATTAAGTAGAACACTTACCTTCCAGCATCATAAATAAAAGTTATCAAAGAACTGATTCAAAACATTCCATGTATCTTGCACATCAAATACTTTTACCCTGTGTTACACCAAAATGCCAGAGGGTCACACCAGGACAAGTACTGCCATTATATGGGCACCGAAACCACTTCCCAAATGGCCATATATGGTCAGGAGCCCAGCTGTGAACTTTAGCAATTAGAATGGTCCAAGTGCTTCGTTATTTATTAACTTGAGAGTGCAGGAGACTGCGATAAAATACTCTACTTAATGGTTGTGATAAGGTCACCGAGAGCCCAAAGGTCATTTCATTTACCCAAAGGAACCTACTTTTGTGGTGATGTCATCTTTGGGGCTGGCCATTCCTGGACCTCCCCCTGCCACAGATGATGTTGACAGAGCTGCACTTCGGGAAGAAACGGTAAAAATTACRAAATGTGCAACCTCTTAAAGCCTGGTACATGGAAGGGGAGGAGCCCTCTTGTCCTGAAAACAGAGTTGTGGTGGCACCTGGGGAGCACCAGCCCAGGGGTGTCAGTCCCCACACTGCCCCTCACACCCAACACCACCTCTGCCTCCAGCTCCTAAGCCAATCTCCCTTTTGGGGGAATAGGGATGTCGAGTGGGGCAGCAGGGACACCCCGATGGGCTGGGGCTCAGGCAGGGTCAGCCTGCACAGCCTTTGCTGAAAGGGCACAGCAGCCCTGGTGTCCCCAGCAGTGCCAAACCCCYGACTGGCACACAGACACCACATCTTGCCCATGGAGAAGAAAAGAAGCTTCAGCMAAGCCCCACACACCCCATGGGTGCTCCCCCCTCACGGGGCATCCCGTGAGTCCCGCTGCCCTTCAAGCCCAGAATATACTTCCTCTGCCAGAGCAGAAGGGGATGTGGGCTGACCCTGCAGCATCTCCCTCCAGCCCTCCCAGGCAGGCACAGGAAACCTCAGATATCCTCTCAGTCCATCTCTGCCAACAAAAACAGTTCTGTGGGTTCCCCACAGGCAGCCAGGGCTGCGGCCAAAAGGAAGCAGCTGTGCCTGCAGGGAGAGGAGGAACCCCCACACGGCTGCAGGATCCTCACACCCCGCTGTCCCCAGGGCGTCCTGAGCAGGGGTGACACAGGGACACATCCAGCCCCGTCTGTCCCCAGCACCTCCTCGGGAGTGGGACCAGGACAGAGCTGCTGCCCCAGAGGCAGTGACACAGCAGCCACAGCCCCCGTGCACCCAGTACAGGCTGTCAGCAGAGCTCCACCAAAGGCCTGGGCAGCACCTCCCCACTGCTCAGAGCTCCTGCCCAAACTGGCTTCTGCATCRCCATCAGCCTCCTCAGCTGCCTCTCTGCCCTGGGACTAAGGAATGCTCCMCAGGTGCTGCTCAGTGGGAGATGCTGTCCCTCACCTGGCACCATTCCAAGTAGGGACAAGAGCCCCAGACTGTGTTGGTTTCAGCAGCAGCTTCACCCTTTTGTGCAAGAGCAGGGCAGCCCTGAACTGTCATTGTTTGTGCACCCACATGGAGCATGTTTTATCATCTGATAAGGAGCAAAGAGGACACTCACAGAAAGTGCAGTAAACAGGGAGGAAAGTGGTACAGAAAGGAACATGAGCTCGCTGTGTCACCCCCCCACAGGCTGAGTGGCTGCTGTTTGTCCCCCTGATAAATCCTGGGGTGGAGGGGAAAGGGGTAACTGATAAGGCAGGAGCCCTGACGATAAACACAGCCCTGGCAGGCACGGTTCAGGGTCGGAGCCTCATGGGCACCACAACAAACACTTGCTGTTTGATGCAAGGGTAGCCAAAACAAGCCTGATTTTGGGGAGAGCTCTGGGTTTTGATGATTCTGACCCTGAAGCTGCAGCTGCTGTCGCAAGCGCTTGGCTCAGGCCGCGCTTTTAGCAAGGTTMAGCCGTAGATTTTTATCCCCCCACAGCTGTCACTTTCCCTGCCCTCTGTCTTTATTAGTTTCTTCCAGAGCCTGTCCTGCCTGGGGACAGCTCATTGSACACCCAGAGGAGAGGAAGCATTGCCTAAGCCCTGTTGTTTTGGAGGATCACCTGCCCACTCCCCAAGCAGCTCTGTTTGTTGGCAAACACTGGGGTAACGTGGTGACACGGCCCTCGCTGGCAGCCAGTGCTCCAAATTGCTGTAATGCCAGAAGGGATTTGTGGTGCTCATTCCAACACCTGCGGCACGCTCCCTGGGGAGTTTGCCTCCCCAGCAAGGCCTGGATCCCACTGCTGGATCCCRTGTCTCTGGAGCCCCTCCATGGGCTGTGTTTTGTGCCAGCTGCATCTGAGCCTGAGCAGTTGGTTTGGTGTTGGTTCCCCTGGTGACCCAGGATCCCARCTTGCTCAGGCAGCAGGGTGCAGGCAGGTTGGGTGTTCCCAGAGAAAGGAAGGAGGATATGAGAGCACCCTGTAAGCACAGGGAGAAAAAATCAAGATACTTAAGGATGTTGAGCATCATTGGCCTCTGGTTGCACCTCCCGCTGTTCTAACTTGGTTGGTGGCCAACAAATGCGCCTCTGGCTGGGGGCTGGCACAAGGTGGAGGATTAGGGGAAGGTAGGGGGTTGGTTTCCCAGCAAAAGCCACCTCGTGGGACCCAGCCATCCCACCTGCAGCATCCTCACTCAGGTGTTCTTTTAGCCAAACTCGTGTGCCCCTTTCCACACCCAGCACAAGCTGGACTCAGATGCACAAACCAAGACTTGGCCAGGAGTCTGAGGGACAATGCTGGGCCATCGTGTRTCTTCCTGTGGCTGCCTGGCAGCCCCTTCCCATGGGCTTCTCGTGCCCTCCAGAAATCCCACTCTTCCCTCCTGCAGCTTCCCAGGCCTTTCACCACCCACCCCATCCATCTCCTGGTCTCACCCTTTGCTCTGGGATGGCAGGGAGATGKTCCTGGCCCAGCACTGCCCACAGTGATCCCAGCTGGTGCCCAGTGATGGTGAGCATCCCACTGCTGGTGTCTCCCTGTGGGGAGGGATGCTGGGTTCTGCTGGAGCTCTGCTCTGCCAGCATTCAGAGGCTGGSTCAGAAGAGCGTGTTTTCCCCCTGGGGCAGAAGTTCAAAGTCTCCATGCTGCTTTGTTCTGGGAGATGGAAGTGAGGGAAAGGAGGAAATGGTGATTTCTGTGGGTGATTGACACAGCTGACTGCTCGGTTTGACCTCCCAACCAGCCACAGTGGGACGGATGCACACACACACACACACACACACACATATTCATAGGCACGCTCACAGCAACTCATTTTGCCCAGGTCCATGAAGATGTTGCTCTTCTTCTTACTTTCACTCCTCCATTTCAACTCATCTCTGAGCCTAAAAATCTGCTCCTTCAATGTGAGGTCTTTTGGAGAAACTAAAATAGCCAGACCTGAAGTCGTCGATGCCGTGGTCAAGGTACGTTCGTTCGCCTGGATGAGACAGATGCTGGGCTTCACAAGGGTTTCTTAGATGCATAATCTTGCAATTTATTTGTCTTTCATTTGTCTTTCATACTTTCTACTTAGTTTTCAAGTAAAAAGATGTGAATTATTTTTAAAATTTCATGCTCTTAAAGTAAAAGTCAGCCTGTGGTTGAATAGAATGTTTGTTGCTATTTTAGCCTGCATGGGAATATAACAGAAAAAATATTTGCTGTATCCTTTTGAAATTGAGATAGGAGTAAAATCTCAGTGCACAGCAAAAATTATTCTCRCTTTGAATCCACAGAGCTTTGCTTTGTGATACATTATTTACCTTCCTTATGTGCTAATTATTCTCAAGTACCCTTTTCTAATCAAACTTATTCTCAGGACAGCAAGTAGAATCTATCATATTTGAGTCTGGTACAAACCTAAAAAACCCAATTGCTAATTTCTGTAAGCAAACCCTCACCATCAGGCTGCCTCTGCAGACGATGAAGATAACCTTGGTTTTAAAAAGAAACACATTTTAGATTTGTAACTTTGCAAATGCCCTGCAATCTGCAACAGTGAGGGAGGACGTGGTGCTCGGCGTTGGTGAGGTGGCTGCGGGTGCAGAATGGCACCGTGTAGCTGGGTTTTTATTCTTTTACTGCAAACTGGCAGAGAAGCGTGGTTCACTTGGCTTTGCATTCCCAGACCGCTCTTCTTACACTGTCATCATTGTGGGCAGTATAYTATATATAAATATAAATTATATATATTATATATAGATATATAAAAATTAGGGGGTCACTTATACTATTATGGGTAAGTTTCAGGGGGCAAAAAGGGGCTTTTTTCCTGACAAAAACCACCCACAAAATTTAAAGAACAGTGAAACTGGGGACAGAGGAAAGCCCCTGAGCATGTTGGCTTTGTGTGAGCTGGACTTTCCCCCGGGGAATCCCGACAGGAGCTGTGGGAGCAGAGCTGCAGTCCCCCTGAGGTGCGCAGTCCCCATTTTCAGACAGGATGTTTCTTTGCGCTCCAGGGGCTGTTTCAGAGGAATCTGCAACAAACCGGGACAGGTGAATGCTGCCCGTGGGGCGGGGCAGAGGCAGCGCCCCAGCAGTGCTGGTGATGGTGGAATCAGGCTCACAGCAGTGGCTTTTGCTGCTCTTCCCCTCCACGCTTCCTCCTCAGGGTCAGGTGCCGAAGTTTTTCACTAAATTTGAAACCACTCTGCTCCCGGGTTCCCTCTCCCAGCTTCTGCTGGGGTTTGCAGCAGCTCTGAAAGCAGAAGAGCTTCGTTCCAGCCCCTGCTCCCCTCCCACGATCCCAGGCTGGGTGCCACTTCTTCCACAAAGGACTTCCCCCAGSCTGTAACCACTTCTTTCTAATCCCTTCCTAATCCTCCAAACCCAAACTTCCTCCTGCTCCTTCCCCTTGCAGATCATTTCCCGCTGCGACATCATGCTGCTGATGGAAATAAAGGACAGCAAGAACCGTGTTTGTCCTCTCCTGGTGGAGAAGCTCACCAGGTAGGGTGGCCRTGGGCAAATGGACAAATATTGGGAAAGCTGCTTGGCAAGAGTTTGTGCTCTGCTCAGTGCCACCTTACTGGGGTGAAATCTTAGGATCTGGGCTCTGTCCCACTGGAAGGACCAGGCTCTGGCGGTCTCGCTTAGGGGCAGGAGCAAAGCCAGCTCCAGACCACTGTAGGATACACTTCAAAATCAATAAAGCCAATAGATTCGATTTGCTACAGAGAGGTTCCCGAAGGAGATAAAAAGGAAGAGGAAATGCCCTCACCGGGCTGGCATCAGGCTGCAGCAGGACAGCCACCTTCCTGCAGGGCTCGGAACTGCTTTAGKTTGGGGATTGCCTGCCTGCAATGACAATGACAGTCCAGAGGAAACAGCAGCGTTCGGCTGGCTGGACATGGAATCCAGCTGAAGGACAGACAGAGGCTGCAGGGAGAGGGTGGAGTGAAGAGGCAGCGATGGAGCAAGGGTCCAGCTCCTGGGGAGGGTTAATGCCTGTACCCACCTGCCTCTGAGGGCAGGCAGGTGACACCCAGACCCTTGGGCACAATTGTCACCCTCTCAGCCCCTKGTGAGTGCAGAAATAAACTCAGGAACACCACTTTCCTTCCAGTCAGCTGAAGGGGCCAAAGGAGGAGTACAGGTGTGTGGCCAGCGAGAGGCTGGGAAGGAACAGCTACAAGGAGCAGTATGTCTTCCTCTACAGGTGAGTGAGCCCTTTGCCAAGCAGCCAGCCCTTCCCTGCCCTGTGGGACACAGCCCCCTGGGGATGGGCTGGACATGGTGGTGGCACTGCTCTGAGGGAGCCAGAGAGCTGCAGGTGCAGGTGGGATGGGCTGTGGCTGGATGTGGGGATAATCCCAGCACAGACACTGGGGTGGCTGCATCCATCCCACACCAGGGCCCAGGTCCATGGGAGTGAGTGAGTGTTGGACATCCCCTCACTCATGGAGTGAGTGAGTGTTGGACATCCCCTGTCCTGTTCATTCTGCTGCAGGCAGGATCTGGTATTGGTGAAACAAACCTACCAGTACCCTGACACCCAGCCTGGGGATGAGGATGTCTTCTCCAGGGAGCCCTTTGCCGTCTGGTTCCAGTCCTCCAAAACCGGTGAGATGTTTCAGAAACGAGTCCTTGTCCCACTGTGAGTCAGCAGGGTGACACTGGCCAGGCCAAGCATGTCCAAGGGCAGGCTCAAGGGCTGCATCCAGACCTCACACTGCTTTTCCTCCCAAGAGCAGCATCTTGCCTTTGGGGCCGCTGCCTCTGGGAGAGCCCAGAGCCCTGCACAAGCCCTGTGGGTTGGTGGGTGCATTCCACGCTGCTGGCCTGGCCCTGGGAGCAGTCACTGGGTGCTGGGGCAGGGTTTGCCTGCTCTGGCACAGCTCCTCGGGCCCAGGTGAGCTCCTGGAGGGGGGCACTGCAACCACAGAGATCACCCCTGGTCCGCAGCCAGAGCAGAAGCTGTTCCTTCCCCAGAAAACCCCCCTTGTTTACACRTCAGTCTCTGTTCCTTTGTGACTCATCCTCTGCTTGACCATTACATTTTCCCTGTTCTTGTTTTGAAGCCGTCAGTGAGTTTGCCATTATCCCTCTGCACACCACACCAGACACGGCCGTGCGGGAGATCGATGAGCTCTATGATGTGTACTCAGATGTCAGACAGCRCTGGGAAACTGAGGTTGGTCACCACATCTGTGTCACCAACAGGGCTTTGGTACTGAGTCACCTGGCATGCTATTTGTTATTTTGGGCTGAAAACCTTAAATCCATCAGTAATGAGCCCCAGGTTTTCAGGATCTCTTTGGGACATTTTCGTTCAGTTCTTCACTTGTTACACAGTAAATGTGATCACGTGATAAAACTGTGATCAGCATGCCCTGGTGTGCCCAGCAGAAAGGAGAAGCCTCACTGCACTCAGTGAGTGGCTGCTATTTGAACTGTAATGGCTGTTGGGAGCATCCCAATAAAAACCTTCATTGGTCTTCTTTTGAGAAGCCGTCCTCATGATTACATTTGGAAACCTTTCTACCTTCCAGAACTTCATCTTCATGGGGGACTTCAATGCTGGGTGTAGCTATGTTCCCCAAAAGCAGTGGAAGAACATCCGTCTGAGGACTTACTCTGAATTCATCTGGCTAATTGGTGACAAAAATGACACCACGGTGAAGAACAGCACAAGATGCCCATATGACAGGTAAAGGGCTCACTGCCAAACCACCCACTGGTTATGATTCCCTGAGAGGAAAATTGTATCAAAAGGTGTCAGAGACCAACAGAGAAAACAAATGAAAACGAGGCCATGGAAGATAAAACAGCGTCCAGGGGAAATGTGATCCAAATGCTTCCAGTCAGGAGCACAAAGCCCTTTGCAGACCTGACTGGGCAGGATTCACACAGAAGCAGCCACTGCTGTGGCTCAGGTGGGGACAGATGACAGGACAGATGACAGGACAGCCAGCAGCACTCCCCATCTGCAGGGAGTCCTGCAGACACCTGGCAGGAGGTGCTGCTGCCTTCTCTGGKCCAGCTTTGCACCATGGCTTTGCTCTGGGGTTGTGCTTTGGATTGACAGATGCACAGCAAGGTTCTGCTCGGGGAGGGGACACCTCACCTTGCCCTGGACATTTGGAGAGTCCTGGTGCCACTGCAGGGACAAGAATACACCAGCTATTAGAGCCCAGAGCCCTCCTGCAGGATGAGTTTCTGGGTMTGAGCAGGACTTCAGTGAGACTCCAGTCATTGCTGTCCTGTGATTTTTGTATCCAAAGCAGGGCTTTGGAGTTTGCAGCGTTGTTGGGTGGGTTTAGACAGAAGTCATTTAATGCTGGCTTCCAAAGGCAGTGCACACCAAGATATTTCTGTGCCTCATTGCCTAGGAGGCACCTAAAGGAATTGACATCACCTGGGTAAGGACAAACCATGGATAGCTGTGACTCCATCAGAACCACCTCTCTGGCCACCAGCCCAGTGCAGCGTGGCTGCCAGAGGTCAGGCACCCCATCCCAGCACCCACTCCCTTGCTCCCTGCAGGATTGTGGTCAGTGGACAGAAGCTCATCCAGGCTGTGGTGCCGCACTCTGCAAAGATCTTTGATTTCCAGGAGGACTTTCAGATGACCGAGGAGCAGGTAGGCACAGGAAGGGCTGAGGTGGGGGCAGCAGTGTCCAGGCAGTGCTGGGCACAGACCAGAGCACTGCTGAGCATCACTCCCAAACTGATGCAATGCTCACATGCTCCCCACATCCAGGCACTGCACACCCACCTTCACCTTCCACCCAGGCAGGGCTCACAGAGAGCAAGGGGGGGCTGCTCCCAACCCTCTGTGCCCTTGTTTTGCAGGCACTGGGGGTCAGCGACCATTTCCCGGTAGAATTTGAGTTAAAAGCCAAAGGTGGCTTCCTCAACTGGCTGAAATCAAAGTTCTCAAGGAAGAGGAGACCCAAGAAGAGCCGCCGATCGAGATCATGAGCGTGCTGAGTCCTCGTGCCTGGCATGGAAATACACAGATGCCAACAGATCCTGAGAAGACTGCTGTAGRTATATTCACAGCAAATGCAATATTTAGTGGGGAAAAAAAACCCCAAATATTTTGTAAAAGTTCAAATATTTTGAGTGAGAAGGCAAATTAAACCTTCAGGTTGTTTTCTTCATTGTATACAGAAATAAATCAGCTAGGAGCAGCACACTGTGCTTACCGTACTGGGCASAAATGTGAGGAGCTACTGCAAGGCTAAAATACTTGTGTGTGCTTTACCTGCAACRCCTGAAGKGCAGGGWGCTCYACACCTTCCCAAGGGCTCTGGAGCTCTGCCATTCCTCTGCAGGGGCAGAAGGATTAAAAGGACCTTTTTAAGGAGCTTTTTGCATCATTTCTGTGTCTGTTGTGTGTTTATGCTKTAGAGCTGCAACCAGCAGGACATGAACCTCTACCTGGTGTTTGCAATGTACAATGTTGTTGAATTTAGAGTATTTCTGGGTGAGGGGCTGMAATTGCTCATGGCATCCAGGGACGAGGGAAAGACAGAAAAAACAGACAGAAGGACAGGCAGTGAGAGCCCCTTTTCTGCASTGCCCCAGCTCAGGGCAGCAGGATGCTGGTGGTTCTCAGCCCTGCCTGCCCACCTACAGAACTCAGGTGAGAAGACCTGGGGATCCCAGGTGACACTGCTGCCAACAAAGTGTCATAAAATTCACATTAAAATCCGATTTAGCATCCTGACATGGAAGTGAACTGCGTCCCCCCCTYCAAAAACAAATCTCCATGGCAGCCCAAAGTCCTCTGATGAACCACTTTAATGATGATTATTTAACGTAAGGGCGCAGCAATCTGTTTTCCTAGCTCARCCCACAGGCTGTATTTAGTGCAGACCAAACCCTGTCACACAGATGGCATCTGGGGAGTGGGAATATTCCAACTGTTAGCAGAGACAAATATTCATCTCCCTTCATCAGTGCACCCCAGGTTGCCTGCTGCAGGGGCAGGGAGGGCAGGCGACTGAGAGAGGCTTTGTGGGGAGGAAAACAGTTTGGCCTTTGTGAAACCCACTATTCAAGGAGAAGAATTTGAGGAAAGAAACTAAATCAAGAGGAAGTAATCCCAGGGGTGTGTGTGCAAGGCAGACAATAAATCCTCCAACTTTCAGTAGCAATTAAACTTGAAATGATACAGCATTTCATATGCTCCCTGACTTATACTGCAGTCAACGCAAAGGAAAGAGTCTAATTTAGAACAAATATTTACATTGGCATTTTTGTACAGATGCCACTGTCTGGTTGACAWCAGTGATGGCTGAGTCTGAGTCTCTGGCCTCACCTCTTGCTCCTGTGTAAGCACTTTCTCTCTCCCGGCTTTCAGAAAGGAGCAGTGCACAGGGAAAGAAACCGCCCTCCAGGAAAGAAGTAATGGACACATTCAGTCATGAAAAAGATGTAATTACACCTAAGTTTTACTGCAAATATTTGTGCTTGTTTGTAATATTGAATATAGTCCTTTATCCAGCACTGGAAGATAAGGGATGTGGCCAAAGAGCAGCCTTGGGAGCGATGTTGATCCAGAGCCRTGTGCTGGGTTTGGCTGGGATAGAGTGAATTTTCTTCACAGTAGCTGGAATGGRGCTGGGTTTTGGATTTGTGCTGAAAACTGTGTTGATAACACAAGGATGTTTTTGTTACTGCTGAGCAGTGCTTACACAGAGTCAAGGCATTTTCTGCCTCTCACCCCACCAGCGAGCTGGCTGGGGATACACAAGAAATTGGGAGGGGRTTCAGCCACAACAGTGACTCCCACTGACCCAAGGGATATCCCACACCAAAGGGAGTCATGTTCAGCACTCAAAGTTTTGGGAAAAGAAGGGTTCATCTTGCAGAGATGCTGTGCATTTGACCAACAGAGAGACATCTTCATGCAAAATGATGCTCCTCCATGGAGAGCTGGGATGCAGTTTTGTGGGATTCACAGCAGAGACAGAATCTACACTCAGACTGTATGTTTGACAGGGGCTGGGGGTGTCCCAAACTCCTGCTGTCAGCACAGTCCATCTCTGTAGACATTCATTAGACAATATTATAATTACACCCTAAAATATTTAACAGCTCATGTTGYCTCTAGGTTTTCTCCACTGGAGATCATTGCCCAGCTGTCCCAGCTGCAAAGGGATTTTTCAGTTGTTCCAGCCTGCAGGAGCCTCAATATATTCTGCAGCCAGAACAAAGTTTYTCTTTTGATGAATAAGGCTTCTTGAGCTTTATTTATGATCAAACACTAGTTTTACACTGGGAATCCAGAATTCCTGGAGAGACTTTGTCTCATGCAAGCCAGGTCTCAGATCATGGCTGGGAGAGAAACAAAGAGGCTCTTCAGAAGCTGAAAACTCTGTTTCCCCCGCAGGAGCCCTGGTCAGGAGAGAACACAGAGCAGAGGGGTTTGGCTGAACATAAAGTGCAAAGTCCCTCAGGCTGAGGTCCTTGGGAAGCCCCTTTCTGGATCATGGCACTGGAGGCTTCCTCACTTCCCACAGAGGCCCCTCCCCAGCCCACAGGTCTCTCTGCCCTGCTCCTGTCTGGAGCCTGGGCTGCCCCTGACCCCATAGAAACCGCAAGAGAAAGGTTTTTATTGCCCTGGTGTGTGAGTCCCTCGGCAGGGAAACCCCCAAGAACCCACAGCAGCGGCCCAAAGCTGCCTCTTCTCCCCAGCCTCAGATCTCTGCTGGGGAGGTTTGTCCATCTGCACCTTCACCTGGAGAGGGCTCTTGTCCCGTTCCTGCCCTTAGCACTGCTCCCTGCTAACCCACAAGAGGGCCCCAACACCTCTGTGCCTGCGCCCTTTGGCCCTGGGCAGGCTCTGCCTACTCCTTTTGCCTCTTTTCTGCTAATGACAGCAATGAAGAGCTGGTGCAAATCCTCACAGGGACCCACCTGGCTTCTTCTTTCGGGGTCTGTACTGAATAGCCAATCTAAACCTCCCCTGGTGCAGCTTGAGGCTGCTTTCTCATCCTGCCACTTGTTATTTGGGAGAGAAGACCAACCCCCCTGATTCCTTTTCTCCAGRCTAAACACCCCCAGCTCCTTCAGCTGCTCCCCATAACCCTCGTGCCCCCCAGATGCACAGTGTACAGATGTTTGGCCACGTACAGATGTGCAGCAAACAAGCGAGCTGCAGCCCCCAGCAGGGCTGTGCTGYCACACAGCAGGGCCGGTAGCGCTGATAACAGAATCAAAGGCAGGAAAATCAAAGAGCCTGCCAGTGTGATACCAGCACGGCTCCAAGCCTGGCTGTTTCACGGCTCCCTCAGCCTCTGGAGGGATTGTGGGGAGCACTCGTGTCCCAGGCTGGAGATGGTCACTCACTGACCGCATCTGCCACGGAACAGGACCATGAGAGGAGCAGGGGCTTCCTGGGCTCGTGTGGCACCCGAGGGGAGTTTCCTTCAGCCYCTCTGTAGCCCGGAGCTCAGTGGTCCCTGCGGGGCTTTTCTCTGCCAGSCAAGTCTGGGAGATGCAGAGCAGGAGCGAGGGCAACAGTTATCTTTCTCCTGCCTCTATAGCCAAAAGAAAATCGATTTTAAAAATCACTCTTCCGCCTTCCATCTGCGGGTCATATAGAGCACTTGCAAGCCCCCTCAGCCCCCCGGCCGCAATATCGGCTTTTCCCGTCCCGCGGGGCTCCTGCCCCCGCCAGCAGAGCCCGGCACACACGGACCATTGTTCGGGCCCCCTCTGGTGGCATCACTGTCACTCCCGGCTGTCTGGGGGATTCTTGTGGGATTCAATTCACAGACAGACCGCTCAGCAAACTCAGCCGCGGCAAGGAAACGGGATTTCAGCCTCAGCCGGGAGTTCAGATCCGCATCCCCTTCAGATCCGTCGTTCACTGCAGGGAGCCCATGGCTGACCCCAGGAATCCCGGACCCACCGTGTCTGAATGAGCTTTGCAGTGAAAAGGGAGCACTGCTGGCTCCAGGCCAGGCTGGTCATTGCCCACAGCAGTTTAACTGGGAACACACTGTGCAGACCCTCCCAAGGTGGCAGCAGCTCCAGGACCACGTTATGGGGCACTCCTGCCCCTGGCACCCCTTGGTGTCCCTGCACCAGGAGCACCAGGGCAGCTGGCTCTGTCAGCAGTGACCGCAGCCTTTCCTGCCTGTCCAACCCTTGAGATTCTTCTGGTGACTGTGCTTTGCTCTCTGGTGCTTTGTGCCTGGATTGGACCTGGTTTGGGGGAAGAAGCGAGGCTGCTCTGGCACCAGTGCCACCATCCCCTCTGTCACAGACACCACCRACCCCTTCCCCAGTGCCAGGAGAAACTGCAGTTTGGATCAGAGGCTCTTCCTGCAACCACAGAATCACAAAACATCCTGAGCTGAAAGGGACCCGAAAAGATCAGTGAGTCCAACTGCTRACCCTGCACACAACAATCCCAAAAATCACATCATGTACCTGAGAGCATTGTCCAAAGRGTTTGTCAGCTCTGGCAGGCTTGGGGCCAYGACCMCTTCCCTGTGAGCCTTTTCCAGTGCTCACCCACCCTCYGGGTGAAAAACCTTTTTCTAATATTGAACATAAACCTCCCTGAGCTGGGTTGAGCCCACGTTCCTCTCCATCATCCTGAGGGTTCAGGGTCACAACCTCTGCACTTTCACCTGGTATAAAACCACAAGCGCCCTTTCTCTGCAGGCTGCTTTTCCAGCCGGTGTGAAAAGCAAGGTTAAATACTTTGTGTGTCATTTTAAATATAGAGTCTCAGCTGTCAGTGTTTGCAGGGGCAATTTTCTGGTAGAGAGAAGACAGATTTATAGGAATTAATTTCCATATTGGCAAAGTAACTAGAAACCTTCCCTGAAAAGCTCTGCAAATGCTGGCATTGAGACATGAAGGCTTTTTGTGCCTCTCTGCTGGGAGGACAGCCTGACCCCAGGCATTTYTGGGGAAGCCAGATGCAAAATCCCACCTCCCAAATAAAACACCCTAGCTGGACATCACTGTCAGAGGGAAATATCCCCCCAGCAAGGGCAGCTCCTCCATGGGGCCCAAAGGATTCAGGCTTCCAGCTCAGCAGGGATGTAAATATTTGCAGTACCAAGGTCCTGCAGAAAGGCAGCTCAGCACAGGAAAGAGCTGTCAAACATACCTCTAGGTCCTACTAAATCATATTTTCCTATTAATTTTTTTAAAAAATCATATATACTAGCCTTTCATTCATGTCATTTAGAGAATGTGCTTTAAATCTCAGTCAAATTAACAGCGACAGGAGCTATAAATCCAACCTGATTTAGTGAC